AGGAAAGATGAGAGAAAATCGGTTACAGTGGTTTGGATATGTGAAACGAATGCCTACTGACGCTTCAGTTAGAAGATGCGAATACGGGACAGAAGGTCATGACTGAAAGGGTAGAGGAAAACCTAAAAAGACTTTGGAAGATACTCTAAGAAAAGACTTAGAGTACTTGGATCTAACAGAAAGCGTGACACAAAACCAAGCACAATGACGTGACGTTCTAGAATTCATATAGCTGACTCCATTTAGTAGGAAAAGGCTTTGTTGTTGTTGTTTTTAATTTTATTATTATTATTATTATTATTATTTTGTATAGCACTACCCTTTGAAAAAATGGAAAATAATTTTTTTTATTTATTAATTTATGAGCCACAAGGTGAATGCAGCACCACTTTCATTATCGCCACATAAATGTTACCACATGTCCTGATGCTATGAAAATTTAATTTTCTGCCCTTGATTCCTTCTCAACTCTGTTTACTCCCCATTGGTTCTAATTCTTCTTTGGTAATACCCCTAGGTTTTTTATTTTTCACAGATAAGGAGAAAGTGCAATGTAACGTCTTCATTTACGCCACCTGATTTATTCTTTTTAGTTCTACTCCTTGGAGTAAAACTCAAATTTTAGATTCTAAACCTACCCCAATTTGCTCCAACCCTCGGGCCAACTATGGGTTTTAACCCAAAACTTATTTTTGGGGCAAATGTAGCCCAAAATTCCTCTTGGGTTAGTGAGTTGGTCCACCATATATGTGTAACTTTTTTTCAGTTTTATATTTACAGATTCATTGAATCCAACAGCTAAGATCTAATATGATCAAATCTAATTGTAAAAAAAAAGATCTAATGGTCCAAATTTAAATCCAATGGCTAAAATAATTAAAAATTAATAAAAATTCTTTCATGTGTTTCATATACTTTCATGGTGTTCCACAAGTTTCATGGTGTCGGTTTAGTGATTTTTCAATATTTATTGGAATCTACATATTTTAGGTTAAAATGTTCATAAAATTAAATTAGGATAGTCTACATATTTTTTTTTTAGACAAAAGTTACTTTTAGAATCCGAAATTCATTCTTTAATAATCTCATACTAAAAATTTAACCTATAAGGGTTGGAGCAGAAAACATGTTTTTGGGTTAAAAATTTTAGGTTTTAATCCATGGGTTGAAGGTGGTATTAGATTAATCTTATTTTGATTAAAATTTAGAAAAAAAGTTACTTTCACATTCCTAAATTCATTATTTAATAATGTCAGACTAAAAATTTAACCTAGAAAGGTTGGAGCATAAAACATGTTTTTGGGTTAAAACCTAAATTTTCTGGGTTAAACATTTTATGTTTTAATCCAAGGGTTGAAGATGGTATTAGATTAATCTTATTTTGATTCAAAAAAAAAAATCTTATTTTAATCATTTATTATGCACCTTTTGGCCAACAAAAAATAGTTTGTTCCGTTTAATTTTATCCTAAAGAATTTGATGGGTGGACCTCATGAATCTTTCAATTCATCTTGACAAATATATAAGCTTCTGACATTGGTTTTAGTGTTACTGATGACAATCACTTCGGTGGAGAGAGCGTTTTTCGCTATGAATATTTTTAAAACATCATTGCGTAACAGTGCTCCTAGATATACACGTTCTTCTTAGTTTGGTGATAATAACAACCTTCTTAGATATGTACGTTCATTTCTCACAAGGTCGTGCATCCTTTTTCTTATGTGAGGTGAAGGATAGAATGGATGTGTACTATGTGAGTTGATTGAGATTATGCCACACTTCATATGGGTCAGTGGGAAATGTAGGATTTATCCATTAGATAAATCATATGTTACCCACTCAAATTAGGGTGATGGATCAATATAATATGTGAAAACTTATTCCTAGATTTCTTTATTTAAAATCCCGGATTTCATATTTTCAAAATTTAAATATTTAATTTTGTTAATTATAGAAGGGAATTGTTATTGGCACTCCAAAAATCTCATTTTGCACTCCAAACTTTCTATAATTAGAAAGAATAATAGACTTATAAGGAGTATAGAATGAGATTCTTAGAATGCTAATAACAGTTCTCTTATAGAATTGTAGTCATTAACAAAGTGTGATTTTCCGTAATTAGTCATTAAAAATTCATAGACCTTTCGAGGTCAGTCTTAGTATTTTCAAATAGAGCTCGATCTCACGAACGTGTGATAAAAACCATTTGCGAAACAGAGCTATAAAGAAGTTACGAGCATCGGTAATCGGTTCAAAGTAGTAATTTTGGGACTTACTATAAAAAGCAAGTCCCTCTTATTTGGAAGGGGACCAATCAGTGTAAGTAAGGCAGCAGCCGGGTCAGATTTCTCCATTGACCCATACACAACTAGGTTCCCTAACTAGACTGCTGTAGAAAATCCGTCAGTTTTTTCGGCAAAGCACATCCACCCATCACCACCAGACAACTCAGGGTCACTTCCACTTGCATTTCCACCCAAACCTGAGCGAATATGGTCCTTATTTCACGAAAAATAGAGCCATCAACTTCTTCAAGCTCACAGTGGCAATCTCACCATTTATGAACATTCCAATGTCGTCCACCACCATTATCCGAATCCCCTGGACCCCACAAGCAAGACCCAAGCAAAGTTTGGAGCGTTGGAGTTCAAGTGACGTCACATCGACATGTACCCATTTCTAGGGTTTTTTGGCCTTTTTTCTTGGTTTTCAAGCATTTTCCGACATAATCGAACTTCGATGAAGGTATAAATATTACTCATCTTTTCACGATATTCATTTTGATATAATTTGAGCAATTTTGGCGTTAGTTGAATTTTTTGGCGAGTTGTGGTCACTGGCCGCCGCGTGTTGCAACGCATAGCTTGAGAAATCACTTGGTCTTTTAAGTCTAAATTCGATACTCTGATTACATATTTAACATTTGTTTGATGTAATTTGTGCCATTTTGGTGTTGAGTGAATTTTTCAGTGAGTTGTGACCGCCGACTGCGGTGTGTTGTGGCATGTGGCCCTAGAAACCACTATGTCCTTTTAGGCTAAATTTGATACTCATATTTCACTAGGGTTCCGTTGAGTGTTCTAGATACCCTACTTCGTCTCAATTTCACTAAAAATTTATAGACCTCTCAAGGTTAGTCTTAGTATTTTTAGATAGAGCTCGATCCCACGAACGTGTGGCGAAAACCATTCGTGAAATGAAGTTATAAATAAGAAGTTACGAGCATTGGAAATCAGTTCCAAATAGTAATTTTGGGAGTTACTATAAAAAGCAAGTCCCACTTATTTGGAAGGGGACCAATCAATGTAAGTGGGGCGGTAGCCGGGCCATATTACTCTATTGACCCGCGCACGACTCGGTTCCCTAACTCGACTGCTGTAGAAAATCTGTCAGTTTTTTTTTGGTGAATCACATCCACATATCACCACCAAACAACTCAGGGTCACTTCCTCTTGCATTTCCACCCAAACCCGAGCGAATATGGTCCCTATTTCACGAAAAACAGAGCCATCAACTTCTTCGAGTTCAAGATGGTGATCTCACCATTTATGAACATTCCGACATCGTCCACCACCATTATTCGACTCACCTCGACCCCACTAGAAAAACCCAATCAAAGTTTAAAGCGTTGGAGTTCAATTGAGTGGTCTAGATACCCTGCTTCGTCTCGATTTCATTGAGTGTTCCAGAATCGTATTTCGCTGAGGTTTTGTTGAGATACCCTGCTTCATCTCAATCCCGTTAAGTGGTTTGGAATCGTATTATATTTGAGTTCTGTTGAGTGGTCCTAATACCTTACTTCATCTTGATTCTATTGAGTGGTCCGGATACCCTACTTCATCTCGATTTCATTGAGTGGTCCGAAATCGTATTTCGTTGGGATTCCGTTGAGTGGTCCGAATACCCTGCTTTGTCTCGATTCCGTTGAGAGGTCCGAAACTGTATTTTGTTCAAGTTTCATTGAGTGGTCCAAATACCCTACTACGTCTTGACTCCGTTGAGTGGCCCGAACACCCTACTTCGTCTTGATTCTGTTGAGTGGGTCGGAATTGTGCTTTGTGTGTATTCCATTGAGTTGGTCTATAATGCAGAAACATAGAAGTTGCCTAGGTTTATACAAGTGTTGTAACTTAGGGTTACAATGCTATTTCTTTTGATTTCAAGCAAGGAAATACGGCAAACCTTACGGAGGTTAGCTTTATTAAACTTAGTGAAGTGATATATAAGTTTAATGGTTGATTAACTTAATTAAACGTTAATAATATGCATCTTTGATTCAATTATTTGTTGTGATTGTGGAATTGTTGTTAGAAAACAGTGCAATACAGGTGAAAGATGAATGAAAACCCTGGTTGTTGAATGGTTGACGTTCATAATATAGAATCTAGTGAACTATGCTCGTTAAGTTCCATTGAGTTATACTGAAGCTTTATGTTTCTTGTTAGTGAATGCCTTGAGAAATTTTAGAGCTTAACAAAAAGGATGAACCATGAATAACTTGATCCAGGCTTCGGGTATGTAGGCAATCTAACACAGAGATTAGATGCACCCATGATATAAAAGAAAAGTAATTGTGTTGTTGGACATTTGATTTGTATTTTGGTCATGTCTAGGAGGTGAGACACAATAGATGAACAGGTATGTGGTGACGTCATGTGTTGATCTTGAACGTATCTTGGGATTGAGACGTGACATAAGATCTCCTAATTATCTTTGTGATATAGAGAAAAATCAAGAGATATTCAGATTGGAATATGCTCGGGATTTTCATGGGCATTTTAGTCATTTTGAAGAAGAGAGAAACATAAGAAAATGCAAGCATTCATAGATCATAATATTCTAGTAAGGTCTTTAGGGCAATCACCTTAGCCCTAAGTCTTGGAAAGAGAAAACAAAAGGGACAATTAGACATACCATAGCTAACCCAACAATCTTCGAAGTTCAAGACGTGCAAGGAGGTTCAAAGCCTTGGTTCGTGTTTGTAACTTCCACACAAGAGGTATAAATTTCTATTTTATCGATAGTCTTCCAACAGTATTGGGACAAAACGTATTAATGAAATACAGAGGTAGAAGCAACAACGATTTGCTCTACCAAATTCATCTTGTGGTTCAAATTTCTCCCCTGTTCATTAACAAACATATTACAACTCAATCATGGAACTCTAACAGGGGAGGGCATGGTAACCCATCCTTGTTCAGCACATAAATCATTCTTTCCCTGGAGAACCATAAACATAAAACAAAAGAAAATGCATGTCCATGATCTAATCTCTAATTATAGAAAAAAGTAACTATATCTGAACAGAAGACGACACTGGTAAAAACAACGGTACAGGGGCAATTTAGACAATGGAGGATATATGTTATCTGCAACCATTTTTGTTGTAGTGAGCTTCGGCACTCTAGGAAAATCGAAAGTAGCCTCAATCTGTTTGTTCCAATTGTTGATGGTGTGAATATAGAGGGAAAAATTCAATACATATTTATCTGAACACTCATGCACTGATTAGTTCAAGTAGCCTCAATCTGTTTGTTGCAACAGGACGTGGAAGTCAGATCTTTGGTGGATGATGGCCGGTGGATCCACATCAGATAGGCTGATATCAATGAAGGATGTGCACATTTCTTCCATCGAAAAAGGTATGCTGGAAATCAATTATGCAAGCCATTTTTAGTATGTAACTCGGATCTGGTAGTGTTGGAGATTGTGTGTGAGTAGAGGCTGAATTCCATACTTCAAATCTTTAAGAAGATAATGCCTAATATTATATTACCTGGAATCAACGTCAAGCAGGAAGGAATTATTGAGCATGTTCATGTTGATTGAATCCTCCGCCATCATAACTCTCATTTGTCCAATAACCTGATGCAACAAAACAAATCCCCAGATGGAGAAAAAAATGGGATACAGTTTACACATCTATATAACTCAGCTTTAGTTATAGCATATATGCGCGCTCAGGACAACTCAATTTAGCAAACAATGATGCAAAATTAGTTACACTCACGTCTGAAGATAATCCCTGGGCTCCATATTTGTCGTCCCAGAACATTGTTCCAATGCGATATATTTGAGGGATGCTGAGTATCTGATAATGAAGTGAATATCTCAAAATTAATAAGTACTTAATCGATTGCTATTGGAATTAATTCATATCATACCTTATTTTCTTTCTGAAGTAACTTTGCAAAAGTTTGTCAAGATAAGGAAAAAAACTTCAAGAAAAAATAGTCTCCTATTGAGTGCTAAAAATAACAAGTAAATAAGATAAGAACTAAGATAAAGAAATTTCGTTCATATGAAAAGACAGGTGGAGTTACCGGACACAATTCATTTGTGATTTCATCCACCGATTTCTGAGTTTTTTGGTGCAAAACCTGCTTATGTCAAATGAAGAATACTTATATGTGCATAAAGCATTACGAATTATTCTGGGTAATACATAAAAAAATAACAGAGCAATATTCGCTTTGTGACGTAAGGTAAAGAAACGAACCAAAAATCTGACAGCCTGCCTTATGTGTTGAAGCTCATCCCAGGACGATCCAGCAAACTGTAAAAGTAGAAAACTATACGAGTAAATAACTTTTCTCATTTCCTCGGTTAATTTGTTAGCATTTGTAAGACCATACAAAGTTTTCGTGCCTGATCTGTTACTTTGAGACACCACTGTTCCAATTTAAGCAAACCTGCTTTCAGAAATTCTCCATTGCGAAATGAGCAGCACTCACGACGAAGCAATAAGCTGCGAGAGAAAGGATTTAGTAAATTTATTAGGAGTTGCTATACTTTTATCCTATTCAATTGTTTGAAGTATTAAGTGGGTATCAAATTGTTGTTAAAGTTTATAACCTGTTAAAGAGCTGGACATTTATGAATGAGAAAACTTGAGTAAACATTTTCCTTGCGATCATAGGAGAGACCTGAAGTAGCAGCAGTTAATTAGTTGATACATACAATATTTGAACTAGAGTATTTTAAAAATTAAATTAAATTTAAGCTTACATGATTCATAGACAAAATATCTAAGGTATGATCTAACTTGTTGACAGTGCTTTGCCAGTGCGTGTTCAATGGTGATTGTTTTGCTCTTATATTTGAATGTATAGTTTTGGACGAGCCTCTCATTGACTTGGCCCTTGTAGATCTCGGTGCCTGTTGATGTATATCAGAATTTATTTATTTCACGGGGCAATCTTGGTCTGTCATGTAATATTGTGGGTTGGTTAATTAATTAATTAATTATATGTATATATATGCTCACCTGAATGCACAAATTCAAGAATGGGCTAATCTCCTTCTTTAGAATGTCACGGATGGTCCCATAAATTTTCTCGACAAATGCAGTTAGATGTTGCTTGAATAACAATGCTGGGTACTTGGCCTGCACTTTTAATTTCCCGTTGGGCTTTCCAGCCATTCCACTGTAGCCACTTGAAACTCCCATAGTAATGGAAGATGAATGAAAACCCTGGAACCGTATTTACTGTGTCACATGGTTGTCACTTTTCAATGCCCTAAAGAATATATCTGGATGTGAAAGCTTACTTGTGCCGTTCTATTTCTACCAAATATGGTAGCAGGAGAAGTTTGGTTACGACGTGAAGCTGAATCAGGTGCACTGGTTGCCTTGAGTGTACTTTGTACAAGAAATACGAGGGTACAAGTTGTTGAAAGCCAATATGCCAGATCATCGATATTGTTCTGACTCTTAAAAGACATTTCACATCTCACTTTGATCAAATAGTATGCATATCAAGTTGATCATGTTTAATATATATGTATATATGTATATATGTCGGTTGAAGAATGAAGGCTATTACCTCTACCATAGACCGAATTTTGTGAATAATCCTATCAAATATGTTTGTTTTCTCTGCTTCGAAGGTTCTCCACTGAACAAGTGCTTTGTAAATAATACAGGCAGCGACAGGCCTCTTCTTGTCAAATTGTCTGTCTTCCACAAGACACTTAACAAGCACATCAAGATTTTCCTGTTTATAGTTCACGAAAATATACTTGTATTAAATGGAAGAACAAAGCATCTTCTTTTTACTTCTTTCAAGCTTTTCTCTTATTCTGAACTTTCTAAATACCTGCTGCCTATCCGTGAGGGATCTTTGTCTAGTAAGGTGGGACACAACAGGATCTGGCTCCTGAAAGAATGTTTGCATCATTAGATCGAGTAATTTTGTACAGATAATAATTAACTTATCCTATTATTACTCAGGAAATTTGGTAATATTTGGTCCAAAGCTCTTCCACTTTCCCAATGCCATTCTCAAAACTCTGTACTATCAAAGAAAATCATTCACAAGAAGAATTTTCCCAAAAAAAAAGCGATGAATGAACAAAAAGGTGATGTAAAGAACTATGCCTTTACTAGTGGCTGAACCCTCTCTGGATTAGCTTTTTGCTCCACGACTACAGCCTTGCTGTGAAGTAATTTATTATCTGATTCCAATTCTGCCATCTTACTCTTCAAGCTGGACAAACACGAATAAAATATAAGAATTGTACTTAATGTATATCTTTATAACTTTGATAAAGTATTTTTCATTTGATTATCGACTCACTAAATGCTTCAAAATTTCCAGTTGACTATGAGTATGCTTCTTGTAAAGGTTAATGGTTCATATTCGATGGAGCAACCACTTAAACTTTTTGTTTTTTTTTTTTTCATTTGCAGAAAACTTGGCCAATCATAAGATAGTAAAAATTATAGATTATAAGATTCTACCCATCCACAAGGTGAAAATCTTTAATAGATTGCACATTCTTACATTCTCAGTTCTTCTGAGAGCTCCCCATTTGCTGATGGAACAAGAGCCTGTTGGCGTAGCACCTGATTTTCAGACTCAAGACTTGACAAGTTCAACTGTAACCTGATTAAGAAAAAAAAAAAGTTTGTCAACCACAGTTTATATTGATAGAGACATTCAAGAAATTACTCAGCTATACGACAAAAATAGAAGAGCAAATATACAGGATTACCTTTCAATAGTCTCCTGAATGTGCACTGATTTCAGCCGTGCTTCTTCTGCCTCCTCATGCCTTGCTTTCCTTTCTTCTTCAATTTGAGAGTGATTTTCTTCAAATTCTTCAAGTTTCTTCTTCAGGTCACTTAGCTCACCCTAACATCCGGTATCCAATATCAGTTGTATGAATATAACAGATGTGCATGTACCCACACGCAAATGTAGTATTTACATATACACTTCATTTGGAATCCGGCAGCAATCTCTTGTGATCACCTTAACATTCCATGTATCATTATAAATTTTCCTTGTACTGGTCAGGGTTTCAATTCCAGTGCCAGTCCCTCGTACCACCAAGGTTTCTAAAAATGAATAAATTAAAAAAGATGGATTTGTTTGTATCCGGATCATTATCGACATACTTACTCCGCACAGTTCCAATTCAGTATTTCGCTTATGTAGTTTTTGCAAGATGTAGTGGTGTAATAAAACTTAATTTTCATTCATCCAAAATTAGTTGCTGAACATTTGTATTTGTAATTTTATTTTATCATTCAATCAATTAGAAAAGCATCATAGGAAGCGAAGTTGTTAGGTATTACCTGTAGTTCCTCATTGCGGCTTTCCAGTATTTCTAGTTTGGTGTTATCCACAACTGCCACCTCTTTGATGACCGGGGGAGCTTGTTTAATGGCTAACTTTGCTGCTTCTTTCTCATGGATGATTGCTGCATGGGCTTCATCTATTTGCCTTTGCATTTCATGCAAACAATGTTGCAACTTTGCAATTTCTCTTCCTTTAGTTTCGTCAAGATCAATCTGCAACAAGTTGTTTGTAAATTATGTGTATCAACTTGCTTATGTATGAACAAAATCCATGCATCAAGGTTTGACATTCCTCCAACCACCCCTTCGTTGTTAAATTTCAGAATCAACATGACTGGAGTAACAATGTTGTTATTCATCATACGACCAAATAGCTAGCATTACTAACATATGATGTAGCAAAATATTAAAGCAGTACAGAAATATGACGTATACCCTCAAGTGCTTTTCAAATTCCAGTCGCCATGTTAGCTCTTCGACACGCTTCTCCAGCATGTCTTTAGCTGCCTTAAGCGCTCCTGTTTCTCTCGCAGCCTGCATCGGGGAACCATTTTTAATCTTCCCAGTTTATTAATTTTATTGAAATAGTTCAATACTAATTATAGGTGGATAGTAAAGCTCACCATCCTAAGCTTCCTAAGCTCCTTCCTTGCTACCCTTGCTCTCCAGAGACATTGAAGAGTTAGACTCGCCTTTTTCTGGTGTTTATATTCAGAAAGAGCTTCAAATCTTCGCCAAATAGTCTGTCAGAAGAAAATTTGGTAGATTATTCAAAATTATAAGCTTAAAGTTACAGAATGATTTCTCGGAAAATAAATTGTTCTGTAGCATGACTTATATGATTTCTCGGAAAACTTTGTAGGTTTAGTTCACTCTATAAGTAAATCATTATAGAGATCTGTTATTTTCTGCACAACTCAATAATATTATTCTTCTTATCCTTACAATACGGGATATATTTTTCCAAGTTATCTATCAAGTTCTTTCCTCTTAGTAAATATGGAAAAGAGAACCACTCGACATTCTTAAAATGCATTTAGTTACGTACTCTACCATTTACTTTTACTTTTCTAATTATTCCAAAGATTCCGAAATTCTCTGTATGCATAGCTAAAGTTAAGTTTCGGTGGATTGTCCCATCCAGAGCATTTATGACCTGAATAATTTTTGCAGCCTTGGTTCTTCTCCTGTTTTGATGATCATTTCGGGCCACCATAGTTCGTAACCCGGTTTGGATGGCAACTGCTGCTGCCTGCAATTTTGTGTAGGATATTCTGGCTTTGTGAGCACGTAGACGTTTTTGTATACGGATTGAAGCAGCTTCCTGTCTTATTTGTTCATACAACTTGCGCGCAAGTTGTCCTGTTTGAAGAAGAGGAGAGAGAAAACCATGTCGTTCCAACCTTAGAATATTTCATTCTATCATTACTTCCAGATGCCATGCACCGTACTATGGTAGTAGGAACAACATATTACCTCTCCAATGTTTCTGCAAGTGAATAGCAGCCCTTCGCAGGGCAGTGAACTCCCTTCTGGTTAGATGTGTTCTGATTTGCCTTTGAATGCATCTGGCAGAATTAACCAAAACTTCAGTTCTGCGTGCATCTAATTCAGCCATCTGACCAGCTCTAAGAAAAACCTTTGATTTTCCAATCTGTAATAATCATCGGAGATGGTGATGAACTTTTGCATAACACAAACAAAATAATGCGTTGTATTTGGTGAACCACATATAAGTTTGATGTCTAAACCAACCTGGTATCCCTTCAGTCCCATCCTGTTACAGATGGCAATGCATGCTGATTTTTCATCAGATCTGCACAGGAAATAAGTGGGGAATGACAAATGAGACAACGTCCTGAAGCTATAGCTCTGACACCGTATTAGCCTATAATCCCAGTCTTGACTTTGAGGTTCAATGCTGGTACAACTGAGAAATAGATAAATCAGAGAAAACAGAGTGATTGCTGGAAATTTTTATGTACCAACCCGTCCATAATATCAGGAGCCAACATTCCAAAGCGGTCGAGGAAATCATCAAATGTTCTTTTTGTTGGATATCCAGCACAACTAATCCTAATAGCCTCCAGCACACCCTGTACAAGTACCGTTGGAAGTTGGAACACAGATTTCTCATTCTGTCTGTATTGTTTATGTTTTATAAATAAATTCAAACAATCAAAAAAAAAAAAAAAAAAGAAGAAGAATAACAGTCTTGATGAGAAGAGTTAGACTTTACTCACCCCACACCTCAACTGGTTTAATACGTTGGCATTCTCAAAAATTCCAGGCTTCAAAACTGTATTTGGCTTAACACATCTGATATAATGTGGTTCTGTTGTGCTAAGTGTCTCCATTAAAGCTTGCAGTTGTTGCTGCATCGTGTCAATTTCGATTCAGATTTTCAGACTCAAGTAAACGCATCTATGAAAATCTGGATTACCTTGAAACGGGTGCCTATGGAAGAAAACTTGGATTGTTTTGAAGTCTCCTCAGGCAGTGGAGGGAATAGATTTGAGACAAATGAGCAGTTCGAGGCATTCAAAAGAGCTTGATGTTCTGCCACTACGTAATCCTTGTTTTTATCAAGAAAATGGTCTGTTTGGTATGTCACCTGTTGACAAATCTACATGAAGAGAATCCAAAATAATAATTTTCATTATGCTTGCTAGGTGTTCAAGAATGTTCTTACATCTCCAGCATAGTGGTTAACTGTGAAGTCTGTTCGAGCAAGTTTTGGCTTTTTAAATCGCTTGTGTCCTTTATATGTCTGATACATCTTCTGTGCAAATGTCTCATGCGTTGACTTGGGAAACATACTGCATATATGTGAAATGAATTACGTGGTCGTATATGCACTGACTTAGCAGCGATCATTCATGATCTTTATTCAACAATTTTCTTATAAAAGATTTTAGCTTTTCTTTGATTTTTATCGGAACAGGGAACGAGTTCAAATATATATTTATTATTTGAGTTATCGTGTAACACCCTGCTGAGTAGTATTATGATTAATCAGATGAGACTTAACGAATTAGATAACCATATTATTAGGTAGATTATATGTGGTAAGTGTGCAATAATATATCAGAGGTGTAACGAGTAAGAAGATTACATACCATGCTTCATCGAGAAGGGCAATTATGCCCCCAGGCTTCTGCAAGAAGGACACATTGTTACAACAATTTCGAGGTTAAAAACTTTGCTGCGTTTACATACAGAGCTGTATTAAAAATTAGTACCCTCTCGATAAGATCCAAAACATCCTGGTTATCTACAAATTCTACATAGCTCCAGTTTATTTCATCCTTTGTGTACTCTTCTTGCTCCATCTTGAACACATGCTACAGTGGAAGATGCTTATCATATATAAAATAATCTCAGTCGGACTAGGTTTAAAGTCTAAAACTGTATCTAGAAATGCCTGTACCTGATTAAAATGTTGTTGCAGCTTTTCATTTGTTAGGTTGATACATAGCTGCTCAAAGCTACCAAATGAAGCATTATATTAGGTCCTTAATATGTCTAAATTAATGAATGTAAATTGTACAACAGTTTTATATTTACTCAGTATAATTGTTTCTTCTGTTAAGCTTTTTCTACCATGATTATATATGTATGTACCTGTTGATCTTGAAGCTTTCGAAGCCATAAATATCAAGGACTCCTATTAAGCTTGATGAGTTTGGATCCTGACCAATTGAGTTGTTTATCTTATCCACAATCCTGCCATAGATTAGGAACCAATAGCTAGCTGTAGTAAATCTTTATGTAATAGTGAGGTAAATAAATACAATGGATAAGTCTATTTCTTCTTACCAATCGAACAGTCTGGAGTAGACAGTCTTCGCCAGGGCATCACGACTTAATGTAGCTGAGTCTCAAGAGGTTTTGTAATGTTACCATCAGGAGTCACTATTACACGCTTGCAAAGCGAGTCTTCCAAAGACTTGTTATCACACCTGAAAAAAAAAATAACCATGTTGGAAGACATTAGGAAGGCATCATAAAAAACATTTAGGTCTTTCCAAATTGATCAAATTAAGTTCTAACATGAGTAGCTCTGCAGAAGTTTGGAGGTGAGAGCATGATTTATCATCTTTTAACTTGGAAGAATCAACTTCGTCCCCTTTGATGAAGTCAATGTTCCCAAGATGGAGGATTGCAGCAACCACTCGGAATATGGCATCCTAGAGAAGGATTGATTACTATAATTAATTTATAGATATTGGATAGAGGAAAGATCATTAATTGTCTGCAGTTATTGTACTTATACAAGCCATGCGACTTGCTACGGTCACTATATACCTGCTCTTCCTGGCTGATCCCAACAACATCCATAGCATTTCTGGTCTCCAAATACTCTCTTGCGTCATCTACATTTGCAACTTCATAGCAGGAGGATTGATTAAGATAATGGAAAGTTCTTGGGTCTCCTAGCTTGTACCTCTTCACATCCTGTAATAAGAATAACATTTGTCTGCCATGAAGAAAAACATATACATAGAGATCGAGAGAGCTTCTTAAGAGCAATCCCTCTTTTGTGAAGAAAAAAACAAAAGGATTTCTCGACGACTATCCTTAAAAAGAAAATCAGCCAAATCAGAACTCATTTAGTTCTCTATTTGTAATAAACATTACTTTAATTATAATTTTTGTGATGATCAAATGAGAGTTGTTTTCCCATCTGGATAACATTTGTGTTTTGTCAATTACTTTACAATTGTAGCTAGTCCATGAGATTCGAACTCAGGACTTCCTCCATTATATTGTAAACTGGATACGACTAAGCCAAATCATTTTGCATTGAACCACCGTTCATGTGAACCGTTGATAAAGTTTATCTTTTGTAGGAATATGTAAGATTGATTTGGATTAACAATCAGAAAATGTAATGTCACAGTCACACACACCTCTGCTGGTGCCGCACAAAGCATGTAAAAGCAATGGTAGTTTCTCTCTGGGTCAGAGACTTGGCAAACACGTGATCTTTCAAGAAGATATGTACGAATAGCAGCTCCAGAGATTTTCCAATGCTTATCAAATTGGATCTCTACAAATTTACCGAAGCGACTGATACAAGCATCATGATTTATAATTAGCTTGAATAGAAATGGGGAAAGCAGTATAGCAAGAGAAAACAAAAGATACATATGAGAGAAATTGATCTAGTCAAGAAAGAGGTAACAAATATTATTTCACCTCGAATTGTTGTTTTTCACAGTTTTGGCGTTCCCGAATGCCTCCAAGACTGGGTTGGACTGAAGAAGTGGAAATATTTACACTTCACAATGTAGTTGCATAATAGCATATATAACGATTTAGGAAACTCAAATCTTTTCCTAGTACCTACGTTCCCAACATGAATGGAATATCAGTATATAATCAGTCTCACTCTCGCTCCATTTGGGATTGCAAATGTAGTAGAGAAAATACTTAAACTGACCTCTAAGACCTGTTGTTCCACTGTTCTCCCTTCTGTTCCTGATCTGCCTCCCATGAAGGCAAGATATCTCATGAGCATCTTTGTTGTCTCTGTTTTACCAGCACCACTCTCCCCACTGACCAGAATTGACTGGCTTCCTTGTTCATTGATCATTGCCCTGTTGCACCGAACGGAACTAGCCATTTAACGTACTATATTTTTTTTATCAATAGCTAAGGACTATCAATTAAGTATGCATGGTCAGGGTGTCTGAGATGACATGATGGAAACCATAACAATTAGCTAGTGTAGTTTTCAGGGTTTATTATAATTATATACCTGTAACAAGTGTCTGCAACAGCAAAAAGGTGCGGACTTAGCTCCCCAAAAGCAGTTCCTTTGTACTGCTCCATCATGTGGGTGTCATACAAGTGTGGTAGTCTCCGGAATGGATTCACCGCTATTAGGATGTTCCCAGTGTAAGTCTGGTTATATCATATCACTGACTGTCAGGCAACTACTTTTTACATCCATGTTATCTGCTTAATTCAAACTCATTGCTAAATAAATTCAATGCATATCTCCTATATGTTAATGAGGTAACTTGACTCACATATATCTCATTGATAGAAAACCGACAGGCTAAGTTATGCAGGACTCCCGGCTCATGGAGGTAAGCCAACTTAGTCATGTCGTCAACGCCTGCTGGTGGTGCTTCTGTGTCTTTTGGGTACATACTGGACATGTCTGTAACCATCTGAAAGTGAACTCAATGCCACCATTAGTTATATACAATTCATAGTTGTTCTTATTCTTCTAGGGAACCATTTCAGGTGGAGGATGCAGGCACATTGGCGAACTGTATAAATCTTTGTGTTCTTGTTGTGTATATATATTGCTTTGTGTGGTCTGGTTGGTTGTTTTCTCGGCGGTTGATTGCTTTGTCTATGGTTGATTGTTCGTGTTGTATGTTCATCAAATTCATAATATGGCGAAGGCTTAATTATAAAACACACCCCTGAAATGTGGGGTGAATTTCATTAAAGAACACATATCTTCAACTTTTTCACACTACCACTTAATGCTTTAAAATGCTAACAATTCAACCCACTTTTGTCTAACTATGCAGGCATCTGGTAACTGTTTATGAGAGAGTGACTTGAATTGTTAAACTTCATCTACTTTGGCCTCATTTGGTATAGAGGATTGGATTGGAATGGATAACCATGTAAATTCAAGGCATATTGAAGGAAACTTCTCCCTTCTAATCCATTCATTTTTCTTCTTGTTTCTGATCGTTTTTACTTGATTTTTCTTGCATGCTACTCTTTTAGTATGTATGTATGTATATATAAGAATAAAAGTGCCTAAAGAGAAACTCTAGATGCATGGTAGTACTGCACTTCTCATAGTATATATATGGTTTGAAATTCGTCATCAATCAAAGAAAGTGATTACTGATGGAACCAATAATATTTAATGTGGGAGGTGAGGTCATAGTAGCTTACAGTCTTCCCGTTTGTGGTAATAATGGTGGCATCTCTGCCATGAATTTCTTTGACTTGGGCATCAATCCACGCAGCCTCTGAATCCTCTGCCCAAACATGTGATCCAACTATGATGTTTATCGGAGTTCCCTGAATCAAATAATACAGCAATTCAAGAAAGATAATATTTATTTCATAAGAGAATGCCAGTGAATATACCACACACACACACACACACATACATGGAACAAGAAGATGAAGAAATATCATGAGAAAGAAAGCTTCATTACCATATCTGTCAGGAATCAAGATCGATCGATTTATCTATCTATCTATCTGTCTCCCTATCTATGTGATGGTCGAAATTCAATACCATTGTTTGCAGAGAGAGAGAGAGAGAGAGAGAGAGATTACTGCGTGCGTGGTGTTGTTAAAGAATGTTAGGATTTGAAGGTATAGAGAAAAGAATGTTGAAAAGAAAATCATCAAAAGCAATAGGATGAAGGAAATGCGAGTGGACCACTGCTAGTTGGTAACTCTTAAAGCAAAAGGTGGAGCCTCCTTCTCCTCGCTTTGCTGACCCAATGGCTGGCAAGGGCCTGCCTAGCTCTTCTGTCGGTCCACCGTCCAATATCACTAAGGCAATACGATCAGAGAATCGTTGCAGACTTCCAGGTGACAAACAATTCGTACTCAAGTGGTTTAATGTGTTTTTTTGTAATGTTTTTGTTTCCTATTTTCCTTTTGAAAATCACGTGGTCATTGTATTTGTGTAACTGTAAGTAATAGCGTTCCTCTCGATCATCCAAAAAGTTGACGTCGGTATAAAAATAAAGCATACAGATGATGTGAGGCGAGGTGGTCTAGGATCTAGCTTTACTGGAATGAGTTTCATTATCAAAAGTAAAAAAAAAAAAAAAAAAAAAAAAGAAAAAAAAAAAGAAAGAAAGAATAAAAAGAAGAAGAAAGCTCCTACGTTTTTCTTTTCTAATGGTCGTTGCTTACTTTATTCATTAGACTACATAAATCACCTGGCAGTGCAAGTGCAGGCAAAGGCAACATGTCATTTGTTGTCATAGATCGATCCATAAAATAGAAAATACACGTCTCCTTTGCAAAAATCAAGCATTCCAACCGGGGCCAGGGTCCAAGACAACACTTTACACCTAGAACGGTAATCAAACAACCGGGGCCAAAGGCCAACTGTCGCTTTAAAAATCTATTTCCACCCACCGCTACCCTCCTCTTTTTAAATCCATTCCATGGGTAAGCAACTGAGAGAGGGTTTCTTTGAGACATAATAATTGGCTTCATAAATGAAAAGAAATATTTCTATTTACATGACAATGTGACGTCATTTTATCATTAAAAAGTTGTAATCCTACTAAGTGACGCAAACATGAACCCCTTGAGACGGTTGATGTCGGTGGTTGATTCCAGATCGCATGGGAAAGGTCTTTGGTTGTGGGGTCCTAAACCCAACCTTATAAGCTTTGCAAAGTTTCTTCTTTCACACCGACATAGGATTTTTTTACCTTCAATCCTCACACACCCGCTCAAGTGTGACAAATTTTCAAGTCAAACACATGGATAACACAAACTAGTGTTGGATATATCCAATATAAATCAACCTTTAAGTGGTCTACTACAAGTAATAGGAATGTAATATTGGAGAATAATGTTGATTGTGATATCAATCGTAGGTGTCTTATATTGGAAATAGGATTGATGGAATTCATAATTGAATATGATTATGATACTTGACTTGGAGGCTAAGAAAGTAAGTTTAGATTTCCTTTATGGATGGAAACCCTAGCTTTTAGCATATATAAAACAATGGTCCCTATAAGCCCTAGAATATACACAACATAATACTTCCCATAGAGTACTTGTATGTGGCTAGGTGTTTGTAGAAAATCATGGTGTTGCCGCAACCTTCATCTTCCTTGTTAGACTTCCATGGTTGCCACGAAATCAGGTTAGTTACTCCGTTGTTTGTGTTTTAATTGTAAGATATACAAATATATACCAACGTTATGCCCACAAGTATGCCAATTGAATCACCACAAAACAAGAACAGACTAAACATTCACCAGCAAATTTTATGAAAATTCAATACATATGCAGAGACACTAACCTGCAGAACCTGGTGTAGAAGATGAAGCCATTGTAGTTTGTTGATCCGATAACCTTCTCCTCTTTTGCAAACACAAATGCTCTCCAAACAATAGGTATTTGAAACACAATGAGTAGACAGTGCCAAGAGCAGTGATTAAGATTATATATAGGGTCGTTCTAATTATTCCCCTATTAGAATTCTTATAGAACTTGAACAAGTAATCCATATAGTGATACAAGTGACCCTCAATAGATATAGCACATAAATAAGTCCCACAATTACAAGGACTTGTACTCGCAATCCTGCAAGAGAAAGGATTTCACAAAGCTTGTTAATAAGACTTCTCCATTCAAAAGATTTATACTTCTCGGATCTTAATGTTCAACTCATACTCATACTCTTACATTCTCCCACTTGAGTATGACATATGAACCATAGCCCTTATAAATCATGGAGGTGATCACCAAGTCCAGACTAACAGAAAACTTATCTCCATATTCAATTTTACCTAAGCATCTTAAAGCATGGAACTCAAAAGTCTCCTTTGTCCATCACAAAATTAACTTAAGAATCACAACATGCCCAAGTTACTCTCTGTATTCATGTGAACTTATGTTTACAGTAATGTCAAAATCATTACTCCCACTTTTCTAATATAATCTCAACACAACAATTGTCAAGACAGTAGTTAATAATCACAACCTAATAACCACAAACCATTATATATCAAAACAGTAAATTCAATAGCTCGATAAAGGTATTCTACTATAAAATCACAAAATGACTTTCTAGCAAACCAAACTATCATATAAATATGTTCTCTGGTACAATTGATCACCAAAATTTGGAAAAATTGAACCCTTATTGAAAACCAAAATAATGACTAAAAACTAGCTTAGACAATAAAACTCAAAACAAAACAGAAACTAACTTAGCTTTTGGGATGGCTGCTACCAATATGTCATAGTGAAGCACCAACAAATTCTTGATACTAGAACAAATCACTCCCACTTGTCAAAACATTCTAACACACCCATTTGAGCTACATGCCCTTGAACACATTATTGGGAAGTGACTTAGTTAAAGGATCTGCAATCATCAAACCAGTCAATAAGAACTAAATTTCAATCTCCTATTTCTTAACCATTTCTCTCACTTTAAGAAACTTCACATCCATCAATCTCGAAGTCGAAGTTCTCTTATTATTCTTGGAGAAAAAACACTGCTGCAGAATTATCATAGAACATGTTCAAAGGTTTCTTCACTGAATCTACAATCTTCATTTCAGCAATAAAATTTCTAAGCCAAACAGGCTGTTTCATTCCCTCAAAGCATGCCACAAATTCAGCTTCCATTGTAGAAGTTGACACAATTGTTTGCTTGGCACATTTCCAAGAAACAACACCTCCTTTCATCATAAAAATATAACCTCCAGTTGACTTCCTTTCATCCACATCCCCAGCAAGATCCGAATCTATATAGCCAGTAATTTCCAAATAATATTCTCTGCCATATACCAATATGAATTTTTTTATTTCTTTGTAGATACCTTAAAACTTTCTTTGTGGCTATCTAGTGAGATTCACCTAGGTTTCATCTTCATCAATTCAGCCTCATGTTCACTCTTAGGACATTGATCTCGATAGAACTTATCACCCTTGTTTACTGGAACATCAGTCTTATTACAATTTTCCATCTTGAATCTGTTAAGTACTCTTTCAATATATCCCTTCTGAGACAAACCAAGAAGTTTCCTTTGTCTATCTCTCACAATTTCAATTCCAAGTACATAATAAGCTTCCCTTAAATCCTTCATTTCAAAGTTTGTACTTAAAATGGTCTTGGTTTCCATAAGCAATTGTAAATCCGAGCTAGCAAGAAATATATCATCAACATACAAAACTAGGAAGATGAAGTTCGAACCTTTAAACTTAAGATAGATGCAGCTGTCCATCTTGTTCTCTACAAAACCATGAGCTATAATTACTTTATCAAACTTGAGGAACCATTGTCTTGAGGCCTGCTTAAGTCCATAAATTGACTTATTGAGCTTGCAGACCATCTTATCTTCCCCCCTTTCAACAAATCCAATAGGCTGAATCATATGAATTTCTTCTTGTAAGTCACCATTCAAGAAGGCAGTTTTGACATCCATCTGGTGTAATTCCAGATCAAAATGAGATGTCAAAGTCGTAATAACCCTCAATGAATCCTTAGAAGAAACCGATGAGAATGTGTCATTGTAGTCAATACCCTCCTTTTGGTTGAATCCCTTTGCTACCAATCGTGCTTTATATCTTTCAATTCTCTCAGCTGCATCTCTTTTAGTCTTAAATACCCATTTGCAACCAATAGGCTTGATTTGTGATGAAGAGTTGACCAGTGTCCACACTTTGTTCTTATACATTGATTCCAACTCTTCTTCCATAACCTTATGCCATAATGCTGCTTGAGGACTTTGAATAACTTGATGGTAGGTAATTGGATCATCAATATCTCCTATGTCGAATTCAGCTTCTTGAAGATAAACATAATCTGTAGAAAAGGTTGATTTCCTGTTTCTGTTGGATTTCCTCAAAGGCTGGTGAATATTTATATGATCTGGACTTGGAATATGTTGTGACTCTTCTAAAGTCGGTGAGGCATTAACAACTTTAGTCATAAGATGATCTTCTACTGCAATTGTTGCCAAATTAGATTAACCAAAATCAACTCAATTAAGTCCAAATTTTAATGCTCGCAAGTGTACGATTACTAAACACACAAGAGTTCATTAACGATTTAGGAACTACTTAAGAGACCGCATTAAACCTAGTGTATGGTATCTACATCAAGGAATTCATGGTACCATTTGCAAGACGCTAAAACCGAATTAACAACATGGCATCTGTGTTACTTCGCATCAAATGCACTCAACTCAAACCAAAGTGGTGGCCAATCACCAAGATTAAAATCAAGCTCATAAGCACAGCAAAATGATACTTAACTTGAATGAAAATTCATAAATAATTAAACTGAGAAATTAAGAATTCATAGTTAGACTACATCGTAGCCCTAGCGAAAAGAAATTAGTTCCCAAACATAATTGAAATTGGTATTGAATCCATAATAAATAAGGAGAAAATTTAGTTTAGACAAAGCCTGAAAAATGCCCTTGCTCTGCCGCTGCCTTCTTCTTCTTGTTCTGCCGATGCTTTTTTTCCTTTTAATCTTTCAATCATGACCAGGCTACCTCTTTTCACTCTCCAATCAACTGTTTCTTTTTTGCAACCGTCGAGACCTTAACGCCCATTTATTGATAAAAAATAGTAGATAAGAAGCGGAAAAGAATTGAATTCTTCACCAGCCACTTCGTACACTCAAGCACCCATGTTGCCTCTTTTCACTTTCCGCTTGATTAGTAACTGATATTTCATCTTCCAATTC